AAATCTCTTTTACTCTTTGCTCCCTTCGTAAATTTCCGAATATTAATCTGGCAATTACAAAGAGATCAAGAAGATAAATGAAATCTAAAATATTAAGTCTCAAACTCAAATCTTAAATCTTAAGCTCAAATAAAAATCTCCGCCACCCTTCGTAATCTTTCCGTATAGTAATCTGGCAGATTCTAAGAGATCAAGGAGATAAACGAAAATGTAAAAATATTAAGTCTCAAAACTCAAATCTCAAATTCCGATCTTAAACATTTTTACTATTTTATAAAACTCGTTTTTTTTAATCTCAACATTTGTTTAAGAGATTCTGTTGATGAAAGTGATGAAGAAATATATGAAGGAAGCAGTGAACCTACAGGCAACCATACAACAGCTCAATCTACAGCTCAGCCTTCAAGTTCATCGATTACAGCAGATCAGAGACGGTTAGATAATTATTCAAATTTTCTCTTACAAAATAAATTTTGCTATTAATTAAATTAGTGGAGTATTAATGATTAATGGTTCATCCTAAGCTTGGAACCTTTGTATTGTAAATTTAGATATTGATATAGAGATCAATTCTTGATCTTACTCTTTTGTTAATCTGCAGATTAATTTTTTTTATCTTGATTCGATATCCCCCATGACAATTGTACCTAGTCAGATGTTGAAATGAGCTTTGATGAGGGGATAAAAAACTGAAATATAAGATTTAGAATTGACCCTCAAATTAAAAGTGCCCACAGTTGATAATGATATTGAGGTCAAGCAATTGGAAGTTTTTGCAAACGGTTTGATAATATCTGGCTTTTTTTGGCAATCTTAGGTTTAGTCGGATATCTATCAATAAGTTTCGCCCTCAGATTAAGTTATTGTAACCATACCCAACCCCCCTCTCTGCTGAGGATGGGTATAGATAGAGCATGGAAAATTCTTCAGAACAAATCAACCCGAACCCGGCCCCCCCTTCCCCTGCTCCAGCCACCTTATCTAGTGTTGCCCCCTACAGGGGTTGACCAGCCAGCTGGCCCCAGGATTAAGAATTGGCGGGATCTGGGTTCAGAATACAGAGAGGGAAAGAGATTGAGGAAGAAGCCAGTTGTGCGCCAGCTCTCACAAGGAGAGGATGAAACACTTCGCCAACTCACCATAAGTATAGGAGTTGTGGCATCAGTCCTCAGAGAGTAAAGGATGAAGCAATTGGCCAACTCCCCACAGTTGTAGAATGATCAATCCACTGGGAACTGCTGGGTTTGATTGGAGCTGTGAGAAAAAACCAGAAAACTCTGGTTAAAGGAGTCTTAAAACTCTGGTTAAAGAAGAGTCTTGGATCCATGATCCTAAATAGGCAAGAGCAGAAAAGATGTGCTTTTCTATAAAGCAGGCAGGGAGAATGGTTCCCATGTCTAACAAGAAGATCCCAGGAAACCAAAGCTGTGGATCTGAATGAAACTGTAGTAGCAGTATATCTACATCACTAATTTAGTTCATTGTTTTATAGTTTTATATAACTTTGTAACCTATTTCCTATTATACTTTTAATAGAAATGTTCAATAATGTTGTCTTTTATTGGTGTAAGACTATATTCGTCTAGAGCATTGTTACCCCCTTTGGGGGTATCCTTTCAAATATAACATTATAATCAAAATTATTCTTTTAGTTTTAAAGAGTTTTCCAAATGTAAAGCTCTGAATATGTTTGTAGAAGGTTTGCTGAGGATGAGGATACAGATGAGGAAATTTAGAGAATACAAAGAGAAAACATGGAGAGAGAAGATGATGATGATGATGATGATGAGGACGATGATGATGATTTGGATGATAATAATGATATTCCTGATAATCATGATTTAAAAAAGAAGAAACCCCGAAAGAGAGAGAGTCAAAGGAGAAAAGGTAAAAGTAAAACTTAGAAAGGTGTAATAAAATAAGAAGATTAACTTTTAACTTCATTGCCACATGATTTATTTTCTTAAAATCATCTTTGATATTATATGAGTCTTGAATCTTTTGTGTCACCACTGACAATGTATGTTATTGTTAAAATGTGTTAAAAAAACTATTGAACCAATTTATGATCCTAAAATATTTTCCGGTATATTTTTAAATTACTTTTATTAAAAATTCTTTTCTTAGAAATAGTCTTCTAAAGAAAAACAAATTGAAAGAAACATAAAAGTAGCAGAACAAAAATAACTTGAACAATAAATTTTCAGAAAGTTGATTGTTGAGAATAGGAAAGAACAAAAGGTAAAATTTGAGAAATTTATTTACATCAAGAAGATTTTTAAGGATATTTAACTATTTTTAACTTTCATGTGCAAATTAACTTTGATTTAATTTGATTTTTTATGGACAGGCTTGTGGAAGACGATGCCTGGCCGCGTTAAACAAGTTCCACAAGATTCAACAGAATGAGATAGAACGGATACGGGGCATAGTTCTCATACATTAACATCTACACGTGTGATATCGACATTGACTCATGTTCTGAACCCTCTAGTTATAAGTTATAGGAAATATATATATACTGGAAGTCATCTATGAGTATTCATTAGAGTCTGACTCACGTCCTCTATATTGGTGACCCCCAACTTTGAACATACAGTTAAACGCTATCCAGTTTCGTGATTTTTTTAAAACTTTGAACTTTAAGTGATACATCCGAGCATCATGACCGACCAGAAAGAAACTCCAACCGAGTTCGTCGCCAAAGTCTCCGTCAAGCTCCCAGATTTCTGGACAGAGGACCCCGACCTATGGTTCCTCCATGCAGAGGCGGCCTTCAGAAACGCCCAGATCACACAGTCAATAACCAAATTCGACCACATCGTACAGAAACTTCCCCAGAAGATTATGGTCTCAGTACGCGGCCTGATCATGGGTTCTGCTGCCTCCTCAGAAACCCCTTACAAGGATTTAAAGGCCAAACTCGTCTCCTCGTATACTCTATCGTGCTGGCAGAAGGTTTCCAAACTAATTCATCACCCTGGGCTGGGAGACCGACGCCCTACTGCTCTCATGGACGCCATGTTGGCCCTTCTCCCAGAGGACGAGAAACCAGGTTGCTTGTTCCAGGGTTTATTTCTGGAGAGGTTGCCCGTCGAGATGAGGGACCATCTAGTCTCCAGGGAATTCAAAAACCCTAGTGAGATGGCGTTATATGCTTGGTGGGGGAAGGGGTATTTATTGAAAGAATTCTCCATAATTAACGAGAGAATGGAAATTTACAAAATCATCGAATTTTTTTTCTTAGTTTGACAAATTATTTAACACTAGAAATTACGCTTTTAGTTCCTTCCTTGATTTATCTTTAAATTTTCAAAATATTAGAGAGAGTAAAAAAAATACAGAAACTATACTTTCCTCTAACTTAACCTCCCTTGGGACGATTTAGTAAAATAACCACCTGCTCTGCAAAGTTTTTGAGAAAAAAATTCGCACATTTTTATCTTAAGAGAAAAAAATAGTTGATTTGGAGTAGAGAAAAAAAAAATATTAGGTAAAAAAGGAACAAAATAATTTGAAAATATATACCCTATCTCATCATTTCTTAAAAATGTCATTAAAACATAAAAGATGTAGAAGTAAGAACAATGCACTATTTAAATAATAATTATATACATCTTTCAATAAATCAAACAAAAAATGTTATAAAATAGAATTTTTTTTAAAACCCGAAATTTTTATAAGCATTGAATATGTTATAAAAGATAAAAGAAACAAATTTAAAGTTAGATTTGATTATGATCAAAACAGGTCAAAATAAAAAAGTTTTATTAAAACATTCAAAATGTCATTTAGTTTAAATTGGTTTTTATAATTCAACCAAACCATTATAAAGTTTCAACAAAAAAATATCCAAAACAATGATTTATTTGAGCAGAACAGGGTGTTAATTTTAAATTTAGGATGTCTCAAAAAATCTTTACAGTAGAGGTTTTGGGTGTGTGGAGGGGAAATGTTCGTTCAATTTTAACAGTCAAGGTGTTTGGAATGCTCTATTTTTCAGTTATCTGAAGGTGTCAATTTTTTCACATCACACTTTATTTGTTACAACCGCTTCTTTGAGTATAAGGCAAAAATGTAAAAAATTTGAAAATTTGTTGCAGAGATGGGTTTTATGAAAAAAAAATAGCTGTGGACTGTATTGATTGTGTTTCAAAAAAGAAATATTTGAATAATTATTGTCGACTGAGCAAAGTTCTTACGATCTATCGTGAAATCATAGCTTTCTTTTAGTTTTTAATGCTAATTATATCTTTTATTCCATTTTGAGAGGATTAATATCCCATGTAATTTGAAATTGTAATTTGAAAAACTTCTAGGCTATTATTTCTCATACCTTCCTGGGACATTATAAAAAATCACATGACTAAGATTTTCACTGAAAAAAAGCATTTATAATTTATTTCTAAATATATACATAAAAAACTGGCTGAAGGGCCCGGTGTTGCCAGTGAAAAAAAAGTTTAAAGAAAAAAAAATTTGGAAAAAAATACCCCACGGCCACCCATGAGTGTCCACAAAAAATTTCAGTCCAAGCGATCCAGCTGCCGTTAGGCCGGCTATATGCAACATATATATATATGAATGTCTTGTTTTATTATATAGATTTTCTAATTTTGGATTTATGTCCTGATGTGAAAACTTTTGAGTTGTTATTTCCTGGACTAAGCAGTTAGATTAGATTAATTTCTCTTGGAATCCAGCAGAGATAACTATATATCTAGGGATCAAGGGTACCAGAGGCATAGTCAAGGGGGCTAAGCCCTCCCCTCGACCAGTGAAATCTATGGATTTCAGGGGGTTTAAGGCTAAAATGGGTGCTAAGCCCCCCCCCCTCGTAAGAAAAAAATGTAAGCCCCCCCTGTATAAATTCCTGACTACGCCCCTGAAGGGTACTGTCGTAAAAAGGGCATTGTCATCTTTGCTTGGAAGGTCACTTGAAATTACGCTTACAGTCCCTTTAATTTCACACTCAAGTTTTCACCTCTGATTTGATAAAGGAGATTGATACCAATGAAGATGAGAATAAAGAGAACAAGATCAGAGACAACACATCTAATATGAAGACCAATCATCACAAACAAATGTAAGTTTATTAAATGATCCTACATTTTTATAGAATGCAAATATATTTTTAAATGATTTCTTTTTGGCTGAAAATTGGTTTGAAGTTTGTCCAAGATTCCAGTAATGGCAGGGTATGGTGGTTGAACTGAGATTGCAGTGTTGTAGACAAATTTTTTCGGATTCATTTGAGACATATAAAACGTTTTAAAGATATATTATAACTGAGATTAGAGAATCGTTTTTTCTTTAATTATTAAATAACAATGACAAAAAATGTAACAAAAATGCTACAATAGGCTAATTAGTTGCTTAAGAACAGGTTGAGAAAATTAGTTTCTGTGATCTTCCATTATTCAAAAAAAATTTGCTGCAGATTTTCTGGAATTTTATTGAAAAGATGACATTTGAAGAATTTTAAGAAATCTTCGAACAAATTCATAGAACATAAGAAATTCAATATAATGCTGAAAACGAAATAATTGATTCTAACATTGATTTATTGATAAATTTCTTTTGAGAAAAATGTTCCTAAACATCCAATTAGTTTACTATAGAATTTTTACATTATTTTTTGTCGTTGTTATTTATAATTTACAAGAAAAAAACAATTCTCAAAACGTATCTACCCAAAAAGACGATTTTGAACATAGACTTTGTGCTCAAATTCAGTTATTATAGATTTTTGAAACCATAGGTTTATTTATTTATCCACTTTCAGAAAGTAAAACAAATCCCGGGTAGAATCTTAGAGTCTGAAACCTAGTCTCAGACGCCGGGCCGACCTCCTCAGACCCTATGTTTTTGGAAAAAAATATCAAATTTCACCAAATATATGTAATATGAGAAAAAACCATTAAAATATTTGAGCATTCCTCTCCCCATCCCTTTCTTCAAGCACCCCTCCATCGTCAGGAG